AAGCGTTCACCAGCGGTGATGCAGCACCGTGGTACCCATTCTGTAGGCTTGTTGCTTTAAAGTCCAATTATCCTAAACTTACTGAGGCTTTCTTGAGATCTGATAACGCAGGGTGTTCCCACAATGCGTTTATCTTCCGGTCACTGTCAAACCTTAGGGAGCGTACTCGAATCAGATTTGATCTTACGGCACAACTTCAATGATTCACAACTCAGCAAACATGTTCGGAATTGCCGTAAAGTCGCCATTAAAAGTCACATGAGGTTATTCATAAGTAAAGGCGAGGAAACAACGGAAACAACGCCAGTAACATGAAGGCTGCAATTTAAAAGTATGGGAGAAGGGGGGAGAGGAGAGGTAAAAGAGTGCTAGTCACGTTTAAGAAATTGCAATTCCGTTGCAGAAATTCAAGACTCTTTGCAAAATATGATCATGAAGAGGCACAGCACTGCTGGCATCAAATCTTTTAACACTTGAACTTTTCCTTTGAGTCTATTGGGTGTACAATGTGGGTAAGGGCAAGTTTTTTTTTTCACTGCGACTGCCTCAGAATTACGGTTCTCAACGAGTTCCAACATGGAAAATATGTGTTTGCTGACTGAGTGGGAGGGCTGCACGGGAGAACTTTGGCTTGAGGTTATGTGCGAGATTCGCGCGCTATGATGGCCGAGTGCCAAATATGTTTCCGTCTACCTGGATTAAACTCAGTCAATAAGCATTTTATTATATGACCAATAAGTGTTGAAAATTCCTAAACTTTTGTATCAACCAAAATAGGGCAGGATAGATGGGCGTGCGCAGGACGACCACCAAAGCTAAATTTAGCTTTTTACCCTGGGGATTTGGTGTGGGGAATCTAATACGCCAGGGAAAAGGCCAAGAGCCTGAACTACTCTGGATTCTTGAATAACTTAGTGACCCTCATAAACTGTAAAAGTTTGAAAGAAATCTGTGAGATGGCATTTTTCACGCCTGCTCGGTCCTCGCGTGAACAGACTCTTAAGACACTGACTACAAGAACGCTGATGTACGCTTTAAGACATTCTCAATACAGCTGATAAACCTTGAATGCAACCGTTGTAACAGCGCTGATGAACGCATGTATACAACAGCTAGAATACCGCTGAAAAAACCGAAAACATATGCACTACAAGACCACTGATGAAAGATTGAATGCAACCGCTACAATGCCCCTGATCCCAATGGCACAATGGAAATTCTCTGACACTAACGGGCCGCTGCACTCGTCGAGTAGTGCTTTTTGTATTATTCTAATCAGGATCGACAGTGTTCCATTTTGTTTGAGTCTTTTTTTATCCTACAGTGATCTGACGCGAAACTGATTGTTCTTTGACTACAATATAAAATATTGAGTTAAAAAGGTAACTATGCAATTCGCGCCTGTCGAAATCTCCAGCTTAGCCAGATATCACTTTCACTTTGCTTATTTAGATATGTAAACTTCCAAGCTGCTTTAAGTTCCTCCAGAACTCACAAAGAAGATTCAACTGACACAAATGAAATTCATACTGAATTTTCATTCGAGCCACGAGCACAAATTCTATCTAGAATTGACTATTCAAGAATGAGCCTTTTGTAACTCCTCTTCATGTGTTTTCAACTGATAGGATACATCAAGATGTGATAATTAATTTTTATTTCAGACAAGAAATAAAGAACTCACAGCGCCGCTGTGAGTGCTTTATTTCTTTGCATCTTCGGAAGCATTGATGCCAGCAAACACACTTAGTGGTAGATCCTGTAACTTGTTGTTGGACAGGTCCCTATTGTCAACAAGTCAACAGAACAAAGCGTATTCTTCAGTAGACATGTTCATGTAACGGATAATTTGTTAGAAGAGAATATATTCNTAGGGGAGAAATAGTAGTAATTTTTGATGTAGCAGAAAAACTTGTAGCTAAAAATTCTATTGTCATACAACTGATTTGCGAGGCTTTAACAGAAATGCAGCAATGTATTCTTGGGTACCAAGATCCTCTTCTTCCCATGGTTTATTCAAACTCTAAAATATTGTCATTTCAGGCCTGGATGCTCAGCGATGACAATTCTCTGTAAGGTCATCATTTTTCATCCATACGCGCCTCGTAACAGTTCTTATATTGCGCTCAAAACTTGGTAAATTTTGCCCATTTTAGAGAGAAATTAGGTCAAATTTTAAGAAATGAGTATTGAATAAGCGTAAAAGGCTTAAGGGTGTGAAAATAAAAACACAATAAAAACAAGTCCCCACATCAAATCCTTGTTGCAAGAGGCTAAGTTTAGCTCGAAAAATGCACTTCCAACAAATCCCTCTCACTCACACTGACAGAATGCCATGGATTTTAATCCTGTTTTGTCTGATGCTTTTTTGAACCTTTAGAAAACGATCCCTTAAAGTGGGAGTAATTTTAATAATTATTTCTGCCAATTTAGAGCAGTAAAAATTAACTGGACTAACGCAAATATCTATGGCCAGTGGCTCTTAAATCTGGTGGGCTAAGAGCTTAGAAAGCGTACAATGTGGTGCACATTAGCTCACATTGTACGCTTGCCGGGTAAGGACATTTTTTTTTTAGTGGGCCAACTTCCAAGTACGGTTTTCAAAGAGTTCCAACAGAAAAAGATTTGTAATTTTTAACTGAGTGGTAGGGCTGGACGGAAAAATTTTGGCTTGAGGTCACGCGCGACATCCTCGCGCCATGACCGAATGCCAAATATTTTCCCGTCTGTGCCGACCAAGCTCAGTCAATAAGCATTTTATCATATGACCATTGCGTGTTCAAAACTCCGTAAGTTTTGTTTCAACCAAAATTGGACACGATAGACGGATACACTGAGGACAACTACAAAAGCTAAATTTAGTATTTTACTCAGGGATTTGATGGAGGGACTCTAACACTCCAGGAATAATCCAGGAGCATGAACTACCCGGGACTCTTGAATGACTTGGTAACCCTCCTAAACTGTGAGGTTTTGAGAGAAATCGGTGAGATGGCATGCGTCTCACCAGACGTTTTGAGACATCTTAAATACAGCTGACAATCCTTGAACACAACCGTTGTAACTGCACTGACGAACGTTTGTCTGCAGCAGCTACAGCAGCGCTAAGAAAAGCCGGAACACATCCACTACAAGACCACTGATGAATGATTGAATACACCCGCTACAATCCCACGGAAGCTAGTGGCACAATGCAAATTCTCTGACACTAACGGGCTGCTAAACTCCTCGTGTAGAGCTTATTGTATTATTCTGATCAGGCCAGATAAGCGACACGGAATATCATTCCTAAATTACAGCATGAAACACTGAGTTTGTAAAAGAAATTGTCCTTTCTAAGGATGGTAGGTGAATGACAGTCACTCTCAAACTGAAGCACACGCTCAGGACTTCGGTTTCTTGGTGTTATATTGCAGTGAGTGTTTGAAGTTCCTGCCGAACCGACGTCTGGGAAAATTTTTGATAGAGAGCCTACCCTTACCACCTCGTAAACAAAAGCTTAAAATATTCCGAAAAGTGTGGGTGAATGTCGTGGTNCGACGTTTCGGTGTCATCATAACACCATTCTCAAGGCAAAGTGAATAAATAATGTGAAGATTTGATTTTTCTGGTCTCTACAAATTAGCATAATAACAAAGGATCACAAATTCTTCCAGTGAATACCTTGGCGCAAATCGAGTCCGTTTGTACGTTTAGGGATTGTTTAAGTTTTGTTATAAAAAGTATCTCCTTAATTAGGCAATCAAATTTGTTAGAACATTTGGTAAGCTCGAGAAATTGTCTTTATCTGCTCCATTGAAGATAAACTCGTTTAAGATGGCAAATTGCCCTCCTATTATTGACGATATGTAGATGACACCTTTACCATCACGCCTGATATAGCATCAGCCGGAATTCTTCTTGACACCCGAAACCACTGCCACCCATCAGCAAAGTTCACTAGGGAGGTGGAATGGAATGCCTTGCTTCCTTTCATCGGTGTTGAATTAAAGAGAGCTTGGGCCGCCTGTGCTCTGTTCATGATAAACCTCACGAACGAAATTGAACAAACGGTATTTTGAAGCACTTTGAAAATTCGAGAATATTATATCCAAGTTGAGGTCAGTATATTTGCATTCCCCTTTACGCTTTTTGAGTCGCTAGGATTTCTAAAACAAAAACGATTTTGTTTTTGTTAATGGTCACGCATTCATAACATGGCGTGATTTTATGTATTTCGATGAGAATTATTAACAAAACCCCACATTCATTCCCCAAAAGTAAACTTTACATATTCTGAAAGATCGTTAACTGAGGTATTGTCAATCTCAATCTTGCGAAATTCCAAACCAAGGCACACGCTCAAAATTATCGTTATTTTTCGCCGTGTTTTATGGAGCACGGGAGAGCCATAACTTCTTCACTTCTCTTGAATACTCAGATAAATCTAATGTTTATGAAATCATGGTGTTCACGCCAAGGCAAGTTGTAAAACAAATTGGACCTATTACAGCTTTTCTAGCGCCGGAGTTTTGACAGGCGAGTCAAGTGATTCATGACTACTTTCACTGACCCTGTTTGTACGTGTTTGGGATCGCCACCTGTTGTGCCTAAGTTGAAAATGGCATCCATCGTGTTTCTCAGGAATTCACAGATATTTCAAGGAAAAAGCTACATAGCATTTATATACTTACTAAAGGCTATCTATATTCAAAAGACCAGTGAATTTGATTTTTTTTTAGCCGGCTTTGCCGAAGATTTGCGATTTTGTTTGATTCTTGCACAGATCTGCTCTTAAAAAGTAACAATATGACGGAAAAACTATTTCGTTTCCGGTGGCTATAATATAAACTTTGTGAAACAAGAGGCTTCATGTGATCTTATTAAGTAGTTGTAGACAGTTAGAAAGCGGTTGCTCCTATTGGATGTTCGGCTGCATAGTTAGCCTCGCATCAATTTATCTACTTAAGACTTTTTGTTTTGCTTTTCATGAACCTTAATTTGCAGTAGAGAAGTCTTACTTACAGCTTTAGCTCTCCCTGGTTGGACACCTTAATACCAGCAAACACTCGTGGCGGTAATTGCTGTAACTGGTTGTTTGACAAGTTCCTGAAATCAATAAGTCATTACAACGAAGCGTGAACTTTGCTGTCTGGGACGTACTTTTTTAAAAATACAATGAACGTTTGCGTTTTCCTCACAGTGATGAATAATTAGATAAGTTGCTTTACCCTGAAGATCCAAATGCAAAATAACATCGTTCTCTCAATATGCCAGCATCTCAGACCATCTGCTCTTCTGAGCAGTGGTTCAGATATCAAAGAAGGCGAAGACTTTAATCAGATTAATTGCTTGTCGAGAATTAAAACTCGCAAATTGAGAGAAATGGAACACTCATTTTAACATCATCTCTTAATGTATTCCTTTAACATCATCTCTTAATGTATTCCTTTAACATCACAGNCTCAATATGCCAGCATCTCAGACCATCTGCTCTTCTGAGCAGTGGTTCAGATATCAAAGAAGGCGAAGACTTTAATCAGATTAATTGCTTGTCGAGAATTAAAACTCGCAAATTGAGAGAAATGGAACACTCATTTTAACATCATCTCTTAATGTATTCCTTTAACATCACAGTTGATAGGTCCGAATATTTTATTGAAAGGCCAAGTAAGAAGTGAAGGTCCAAAACCAATCAAGCAAATGTTCAACTACGCAGGGGGTCCTGGTATCAATAGCACTATGAGAATTCTCTGACACTAAATAGGATGCTGAGCTCTTCATGTGGAGCGTTTCGTATTATTCTGATCCAGGATCCACGGTTTTCCGTTTAGTTTGAGTCTTTTTAATCCTGTAGTAAGCCGACACAGAATAGTGTTCCTTTATCACGATATGAAATACTAAGTTTTTAGCAATTTGTACTTGTCCAAATTTCTAGCTGAGCCAGCAATTATCTGTTCATTTTTCGTATTCAGATATGTAATAAGACTAAGAGAGAAACCTTCCAGAATCGTTTTAAATTTGCAATATGTAGTTCTCTTTTACATTTAATCTCTTAGGAAGTCTAAAATGCACTTGTTTAGTAGCTTGGATTTTTACGTTGCCATGGTAACCAAATTAGACAAAAATTTTTTCCTCTTATTTACGAGGATTTGATAGAAATACAGTGCTGTGTTCCAAGGTACTGAGGTCCCCCACTTTCCATGATCCTTTGTAGATTTAAAAATGTTGTCTTTTGAGGCCTGGATGCCCACTGATGACAACTTTCAGTAATACAAAATGTTGTACACGGCGGTTTTGTAGTTAAATGAAACGTGTACTCCTCTGTCTCAGGATTTTTCATGAACGGTTTTAAAACGACTTCGTATGCGACGCGCAAAAAGATTTATATTTTTTGTTTTGAAACGATGGCTTGTAAAACACACCGTCTTTTTGTCCAAATTAAAAAACTTGTTAAAGCAGATTGTTGAGTCATTTTATAATAACTCGCAAATCACCTACGATTCAGATGAAAGGAATCAAGGGTTTGACGTCAGCATAATGCATTGCAAAGTTTTTTTTTTTTTATGTTTAAGCAGGACAGCCGGGCCCCGATGAAGGGAGGTGCAATCCCGCCGACCTACATGTCTAATCCCAACCCATTGGTTGGCGTGCAATGCCTTAGGGATGGGGACCACCATAAACGAGGGTCACCAGACGCCAAACTCGCTGGGGAATCGAACCCCACCTCACTTAAAAATTAACACACTCACACCCAAAAATTAAACACACCCGCTCATTACTTAACTAATTATTTTCTTTTGTTTTTCTTTTTATGACCTTAATTAATTACTTTGGGAACTTTTTGTTGAAAAATTTTATAGCAGTCTTAAAGTCCTCATCTTTCAAACCAATAAAGCGGGGATCTGAAGTCCAACGGCAAAAACGTTTTCGCTGATCAGGCGGTTTACGATAATCAACCGCAATCTCCCACAGGATTGCACGGTGGTCTGCAGAACAGGCTGCCAATTCCGGAACTTCAAGGAAAACATCAGGGCCATTGCGGATATCACTCATGGGTGAAACCACAGGACTTTTAGATGGGGCCTGTTGAGTCCTCTTAACTGAAACGGGAACAGAGGAAGCGGGGCGTTTCCGGGAAACAGTGGTCCAGGGACCACTTTCACCAGCCATGTCAGAGTCAGCAGGGTTAGCAAAACCCTCGGTTGCTGATATAATATTCTCATTTCCAGTCGTTTCACAAGAGGCGAACCGGTCTTCGCTTGCATCAGAGTCTGGAGGTGAACCAACTTCATCTTCAGAGTCTTCAATAGCAGTGTCGGGGGTCTCTTCTTCGGCGGGAGTGCTCTTCACCGGAGGAACAGCCACACCGTTCTCTGTAACAGGGGCGTCAGCCTCAGCTGGAGCAGCCACGGTCACCTTACAATTCCGAGCCAAGTGCCCATCTTGATGACACCGGAAGCATTTTCCTTTGAGAGGACAATCAGCTGACTTGTGGCCAACTTTCCGGCAAGTCCCACACTGGAGGGGTTGCCCCCTATACCAAGTTTTACAACGAACACCGCGGATAGGGATAAACGGTGGAATGACATTCCTAATGACCATTTGGACGATGCGTGACCCGGTGGACACTGAAGGCCTTCCGGGCCAAACCTGATTGCGAACAGATTTGACCGTACCATATGCAGACAAAGCTGTGCTGATGGCGTCGTTTGATCCCTCAAAGGGAAACCAAGAGACTACAACAGTAGTAAGCTGGGGAGGAGGAGGAGGGGGTTTAACCACCCTACACTCTACATCGCCCAACTTGATGACACCTAGCTCCTCAAAAAATAACTTAGCAGCATCGCCGTTCTCAGCAAAAGTGACTCTCGCAACACGGCCAGGACATGCCTGCACCGCAGCCACCCGATGGTCAGACTCACGGTCAAAAAAACCCAGCAACAAACCAACCGCTTCCGAGAAAAGTACCTCCTCAGGGAGCCCCTGACAGTCAACGTCGATGGTCCTATTAAAGGACACGACCATGCTGAAACTCGGACCCAACCCAAAGACAAGTCAGAGGGATGGGTGACCGAAACAGAGAAAAAGCAAAAAGGAAAGCAAGTTC